ACCAGGCTGGAAAGCCAAACCCAGTCTTAACCTTCTATATCAATATCTTTCTTACACTTTTACTATCCGGAAACAAACCCAAATAAATGTCCCAAGCCCTTACTCCAGCCATCACTGTGTTGGATGAGCCACATTTCCTTGTCCAAAAAGTACAGTATTTCTAAAACTTTTGCTCTGCATGCTTCTGCAGAAAGAACTCTTGGCTGCACATTTGCCCTGTGCCCTTCATTCTTCAGGGGTTGCTCTGTCCACACATGTGGACTGTGTACAGTTTGCTTTTCCAGATTTCTGGGTAGGACTTGTACTTGGCAGGGCTGCTTTGTTGGCACTGCCCTCTTCTCTCCCTGCTGCTCCAATACCTGCTGTACTGAACTCTTAGGGGAGGATTTGACCTCAGTGGTATTGCTGGAAACCTAATAGATTTCACATTGATTAGTGAGGAAACCCATTTTTTATATTCCTCTTGATCATTTCTACACCAGAGGTATGTTTACGGATTGTTAGAGAGAAGAAGAGAAGGAGGGAGAGAGAGAGAATAAGAGGGAGAAAAATGTCAATGTGAGAGAAAAGTATCTATCAGTTGCCTGCCATCTGCACCCAAACCAGGGATTGAACCTGCAACCTAGGTATGTGCCCTGACCGGGAATCAAACCTTCAACCTTCTGGTACACAAGACAATGATCTAAGTAACTGAGTCACCTGGCCACGGCTGAATAAAATATTTTGTATATGGAGCCCTAGCTGGCATAGCTCAGTGGATTGAGCGCAGGCCTGCGAACCACACGATCGTGGTTCGATTCCCAGTCAGGGCACATGCCTGGGTTGCAGGCCAGTTCCCGGAAGGGGACTCACGAGAGGCAACCACACATTGATGTTTCTCTCCTTCTCTCCTTTTCTCCTTCCTCTCTAAAGATAAATAAATAATTAAAAAATATTTTGTATATGTTTATGAATTGTATTTTGTCTAAATTGTAGTCAGACTTCAACAATTATTTAGTCCTTTTGAACAGGGTGAGCTACCCAATTTTGAAAGAGAAATATTTGTCTAGTGCTGTTGCGTTGCATTTTCTGCTTTCAGATCTCATATTGTTTGCTTAATGTTCTTAGGTGCTTTATGGTGGGGTACATAGTAATTAAAATTGTTATCTCCATGATGAATTGACTTCGTTATCATTTTAGGATGACCTATTCCTTTTCTGACAGTGTTTGAGGTTTGTTTTGTATGATACATTTTAGCTATTCCTGTTCTCTTTGGTTATATTTGCATGAAATATTTACTACATCTCTTTATTTCCAGCTTATTTGTATTCCTGAAGATTCAGTGAGTCTCTTGGAGGCAGCATATATTGTGTCTTGTGGGGATTTTGGCGGGACATGGGGTGGGTGGGAGGTGCCGGGGAGACAAAAGCAAAGCCTAAGCAGGCTTTTCCAGTAGTTCTGTCCTCAACTTATTTATTTATTTTTATAAATAAATATTTTAAAGTTAAAGTTGCCATACATTTTGATATAAGTTTTGTGTGTACACCCCAGTGATTAGACATTATAATTATAATATAACTTACTAAATGATCTTCCCGATAATTCCAGCCATACACAGGTATTAGATACCACACATAGGTTTTAGAATGTTATTGACTCTATTTCCTAGGCTGTATTTTATGTCCCCCTGACTATTCTGTCACTGTCAATATGTACTTCTTGATCCCTTCACCTTTTTCACCTGCCATGAGGATTTTTTAAATGTTTATTTGAGCCAAACTGATGTCAAAGGCCAGGAAGCAAGATCTCAAATGCTTTTGTGTCTTGAGTTTTTTTTAACCCTTCAGCCATTCTGTATCTCTTTATTGGACAATATGTCAAGGACCTACTATTGCCACTTTGTCATTGTTTTCTACATCTTTCGTTGTTCCATTTTTATCTTCCTTTTTAGTCTTTTTTTTTGTAATTGGATCCTTTACTACAGTATTATGCTTTGAGTCCTTTCTGTTTTGTGTATCTATTATATAGGATTGTGCTTGTGGTTTGCATAAAAGAACTCCTACTCTTAATAGTTTATTCTCACCTGAAAACAGCTTCAGTTGGATTAAAAACATCTACCCTCTGACTCTCCATTTGCCACCCCAGTGTATGTCTTGATGTCACGATTCACATCATAATATATATTGTGTATCTATTAAAAAATTATCATGAGCATTGTTATTCTTTTTAAGTATATTTTATTGATTATGCTATCACAGTGGTCCCATTTGTCTTCTCCCCCTTATTCCCTGTAGTCCTGTACCCACCTTCCACCAGCATCACCCCCTTAGTTCACGTCCCTGGGTCATACATATACATTCTTTGGTTTCTCCATTTCCTATATTATTCTTAACCTCCCCCTGTCTATTTTGTACCTACCATTTATGTTTCTTATTCCTGTACCTTTTCCTCCATTCTCCTCTTTCCCCTTCCCTTTGCCTGCTGATAACCCTACATGTGATCTCCATTTCTGCGATTCTGTTCCTGTTCTAGTCAATTACTTTGTTTTTGTTTTTGCTTTAGGTTCAGTTGTTGATAGTTGTGAGTTTATTTTCATTTTACCGTTCATATTTTTAATCTTCTTTTACTTAGATAATTCCCTTTAGCATTTCATACATTAAGAGCTTGGTGATGATGAACTCCTTTAACTTGACCTTATCTGGAAAGCACTTTATCTTCCCTTCCACTCTAAATGGTAGCTTTGCTGGCTAGAGTAATCTTGGATGTAGGTCCTTGCCTTTCATGACTTTGAATACTTCTTTGCAGCCCCTTCTTACCTATAAGGTTTCTTTTGAGAAATCAGCTGACAGTCTTTTAGGAACTTCTTTGTAGGTAACTGTCCCATTTTCTCTTGCTGCTTTTAAGATTCTCTCCTTATCTTTAATCTTGGATAGTATAATTATGATGTGTCTTGGTGTGTGCTTCCTTGGGTCCAATTTTTTGGGGACTTCCTGGACTTCTTAGAAGTCTAATTTTTCTGTCAAATAGGGAAAGTCTCCTGCTGGCACCACTATGATTCAGATATTGGAATATTTAAAGTTGTCCTGGAGGTTCCTAAGCACCTCCTCATTTTTTAAAAAATTCGTGTTTCTTCATTCTGTTCTGGTTGAATATTTATTTCTTCCTCCTGCTCCAAATTGTTGATTGGAGTCCTGGTTTTCTTCCCTTGACTGTTGATTCCTTGTATATTTTTGTTTGTTTCACTTTGCATAGCCCTCAGTTTTTCCTATATTTTACAAGCACACAAAACCATTTCTGTGACCGTCCTGATTGCCAGTGTTTTGAACTCTGCATCTGATAGATTGGCTATCTCTTTGTGGCTTAGTTGTAATTTTGGAGTTTTGATCTGTTCTTTCTTTTTTTTTTTCTGATGTTGCTCATTTTTGCATTTTTTCATAATTTTTGTCAGTTTATTAGTGTTTTCAAATAAATACATTTTTCTTTGTTGGTATTTTTCTATTATGCAATTATTTTTTATTATTAATTTTATTCAGTTATTTTTCAAGTACAGTTTTTTGTCTATTTTTCCCATCCCAGCCTCCCCCGCCCCTTGCTCCCCACCTCCCTCCCATTTCCACCCCTCTTAGTTCTCGTCCCTGTGTCCTTCCTATTTGTTCCTCCAAATCCCTCCCCCTTTTTCTGATCTGTTCTTTCATTTGGGCCATGTTTCTTTGTCTCAGCACACCCATTACATTTTAAGTGGTGGAGCCTTAGGTATTCACCAGGGTGGACCTAACCCACATCTCTGGGTTGTGGTGCAGTCAGGATGAGTGTTTCTTCTTTAATTCCTTGATTGTCAGACTTCCATAAAGTTTGATTTTTCTGGCAGTTTTGGTTATTTTTTGTTTCTAAATTTGTCGTCTTTCTTTTGGTTATGTGAGGAGGCAAAGGTATCTACATATGCTTTTGTCTTGGCCGGAAGTCTTTTTTTAAAAGACTTATTTATTTATTTATTTTTAGAGAGTGGAAGGGAGGGACGAGGAGAGGGCGAGAAATATGCGTGTGTGCTTGCCCTCTTCGTGCTCCCAGCTGTGGTCCTGGCCTGCATCCCAGGCATGTGTCTCAACCAGGAATCCAACTGGCAACCCTCCGGTTCACAGGTCAGCACTCAATCCACTGAGCCATACCAGCCAAGGTCATTGTTATTCTTTTGTTGTTGTTGTTATTCTTAATATGCTTTATTTTTATCCTATATAATAGAGTCTTTTAGCTGTACTCTCTGATTTTGGTCAATCCCTGTTTCACTTTGAAGTGTCCACCACACATTTCTATACAAACCTTGGACAGCATCTGCTCTGTTGCAATTTTTATTCATAGTTTGGGGCACATTCACATTCCTCTACAAAGCCTGACAACCAGCCTCTCTTCCTTGTGTCCTGTCCTAGCCCAGTGTTTTTTGTTTAATGAGGTGCCCATTACTTACTGACCTTAGTGGCCTGTAATGCACAACAACAATGTTTTCAGAGTCTATCTTAGTTGTCTTGAAAATCATCACATTGAATCATACCTAGACATGACGGACAAAAATTTGTTATGAGAATACCCCTTGTTGATAGGTCAATATGTACTTCACCAGGGTTTTCTTTTGTTCAGGTTTCTGCTGTGGAGCAGAAGACATGGAAGCATCCATTGAACAGAACATTTCTCTAAGAGTGTCACTGTCAAAGAATATCACACCACCTGTGTCTTCTCAAAACTCCAAGCCCTGTTAGAATTGTGGGCCAGTCTGGAGAGATATTTTCCTATTGGTTGACCAGAAGGGAACACAAGAGAGTCCACACTGCTAAGGTGTGGGACATGTGGTAAATATTTTTATTTCAGTGCAGTGTTACCAGCACACAACAAAGAATTGTGTCATAGTAGTATGCACTACTCATAATTTCTTTTTCTTTTCTTTTTTTTTTTTTGAGCCAAAGTAATGGCCAGTCTTTATCGAAGACAAGAAACGTTACAGCACATTGTGAGTGAGTTATCGTAGGGGCTCAGTGGGCCAACTGGCGGGGCACCATCTCATAATGGGTTCCACAGCTAGGGCATCGCTGGGTCTCGCCTTTGTGCAGCCAGAACCAGATGACAGCACTGTTGTCCTCTTCACAGATGCAGCCCACTATTCGCTTGTTGGTGATGGAGGGGACTAAATTAGGGTCTTCCTTGGTGCCTGAAGCTGCCTTTGGGGCTAGCATATTGTATGGGTCCTGTCCCTTCCGCGCAGCCATCATGACCTCCCGCTCCAGCCCAGTTGCCTGCTCGCCATCTGTAGGAGTACCACCTCCAGACGCCAGGGAGCGCACCGCAGCTACCCCATTGGGACCTCGAGCCCTCAGGGCCTGTGCGACCAGCGCTCCAGCTCCTCGAAGTAACCTTGAAGCCATCGCGCCCGCTACAACACACTTCCCTCATAATTTCTTATTTATTATAATATTTCCTGTAATGTAAAGAAATTCTCAGCTCAGCATTCCTCAACTTTCAGTATGAATGTGTACTTATTTATTCTAAATATAACTCCTGAATATGTCCCTAATCTTATGGCAGGGACAATGACATTCTTATCATCATCTCACCTATAAATCATTAACTATGTCTGTAACTCACAAGTTCTATTTCATTACAATTGCATTTTCATACCAACAAAAATATAGATAACTTTCAGAATTCAAGTCTCCCACTTTTTCAAAAATTAGTTTTTAAATTGATATTTAAATTATAAATAGCCTTTCATTTATGTTTACATTATGCATCCTTTCCTTTTAACAGTTCGTTCTACATTTTTGCGTTATATTTGTCATATGTATGGTTGTGTACTAAAGTCATTTGTTTAAAAATTTGCATTCTCCAATGGGAATATATCCCCCTGTATTGTGCTGTGCTTTATTGAGATTCGGAGGTAATGCACATTCATCAATACAAAGGCAAGACCCTCCACCTGCAAAAAGATTGTATGCAACTCAGTGAAGGCTCGGGTGATGGTTCATATTTTTAATCAATAAAATATTTTAAAATCAAGGTGTGTATATTGTTACTTTTTACAGTGCCTTGGCACACTTAATAGACTATAGTGGTGTATAGTGTAAACATAAATTTTTTAAAGTTTTTAGAAATTTGGTATTTAAAAAATACTCATTTGACATGTTTAGTGATTTTTAGAGTGGGGTAGGGAGAGAAAGAGAAACATCGGTGTGAGAAATACACAGTAAATTGGTTGCCTTTGGCATGTGCCCTTACTGAGGACCAAACTCAATCTAGATATTTGTCCTAACCTGAAATAAAAATGTCTATGTTTTTTGGTGCATGGGACCACGCTCCAAACAACAGGCCCACTAGACCAGGGCTATCCCCACTAGGGCTTTCTGGGGTTTTTTTGAGGTATATGTCCCATAATCCACCTCTGGAGTCAGCTGGGGAAATACAGCATCCTGGCCTTGGAGTGTAGGAACTACATTACCCAGAGGGCCAGGGGAGGAATGTCGCCACAGGAAGCCAATTAAGACTCCAAAAAGGCATTTCCGGTTGGGAGCTGATGCAGAACCAGACTTTAGTCGTTCTCCTTACGGGCGTTTCGTTTACTCTCAGTTTCCTTATTACCCTGTGATGATCTTGTGATCCCGGAATCGAATGTTGAGGACGTGAGGATAGTGATTACAGTAGGCGTGAAGCTCGGCCACTCCGCTTCGGTGACGAGCGCCAGAGCGGGGACAGAGTTCCTCTTGCCCCGGGGACCACTATTTTCAGCTGCTCCAGCCCCGCTCAGCTCACGGAGTTTGATGGCGGCGCCCGCGCGGAGGCGCCCCGCTGAGGTGAACGCGCGTCCCCGGGACCCTCCCCCCTCAGCCCTCAGAGCCCTGCGGCCCAGGCCGCGGTGTCTGGGAGCGCCGGGCGCTCAGTGGGTGACACAGTGTGACGGGAGTAGGGAGAGGGTGACGGGCTGAGGGGCCAGCGGCGGTTGTCTCACTAAACCTCCAACACTCCGGGGGTGATCTGCCCTCGACATTCCTAAAATTTCCCTTGTCAGACAACCTTCAGGTTCTTGACTGGCCCAGGAAGGTTTGAAGGGCAAATCGGTGTCAGACTAAAGCAAGTTTTATTTGGGTAGAAAAGAAAAAGAAAGGCCAGTGTGGACGCCACTGGGAAGGAAGCAAAATCAGTGCCTCTGAGTGGACGCGCGCCTACTGGAGAGACTGGAGCGAGCTAGTGCTGAGATAGTTCTTGGGATTTTATGTTTCCAAGGGCGAGGGCTTTGTCTCCAGGCTTTTTGGTGCCAAATTCTGAGCCTTCTGTTTGGGAGTGGGGCTTGTTCTGAATTCTGTGATTGCCACAGGGGCTTCCTGCCATTAAGTGTTTCCCTTTGTTTGTGCGGAGAGCTTGGGGCTCAGATGAAAGGATGTGGGGTTTTACCCCGCTGGTCAGGATTTTTCTCTTAAGTTCTTTCTGTCCTGCTTCAGTTGTTCTAGAGCATTCTGAAATACCTGAGCACTTTCTGAAAGCCATATGCTAAATTCATGGGTGATTTCAGATTCCTGTGGTGTGGAGCAGGAGGTGGCAGAGCTGAGGGAGTGAACCTGGGTGCGAAGCTGTGAGGAAGAGGCCACACAGTTTGCAAAGCTAGAGGTCGTGTGAGCTGCTGGTCCTGGGTACCAGGTGTAGGGACCTAAGGGTGAAGTATAAGCCGTGTTTGGCTAAGTGTTGGAGGCATGAGCTGGGAGGTTTAGTGAAATTGCTGGGCAGGAAGGTTGGAACCCTGCAGGCCTGGAATTTAGATGCTATTTGTTGTTGCACGTCACATTCCTGCTGCTGTTGCTGAGGGCGATCCCGGTGATTCTTGGGACTATGAGCAGATAGCATCACTGGTACTAGGGCCTGGTATTGTTACTGGACATTGGTGTTGCCCTGAGCAGGTTTGCAGTTCGTGTATGAAAGGTTTCACAACAGGAGTTCAGGTGACTATGAGGACACATTTATGAAAGCTGGAGACAGTAAGACAAGGGCTTAGCACAGAAAAAGCAACAGAAGAGCCTATATATATGGGGCTGCCACGGCTCACTAGGAAGTCAGAGAAAAGGAGGCTTTGAGGACAGGCTCAGGGAATCTGCCTGGGACAAGCTGCCAGTTGCCCATTGCCTTAGAGTTTAGATGTTTGCCTTGAAATAAGTGGGAGGGAGGAAGGAAATGGTGCTGGTTGCTCCTCAGAGGGAGAGGACACATACTGGTCATTTGTCTTGAGGCTTTTCTTTCTTCTTGAAGGAAGAAATCTTAGCAAAGGTCTTGGGAGGGCATTAGTAAAATTTATTCACCAGTTTTCCAAGTATGCTCTCTTAGGGTCCTGGTCACCGTTGATTGGTCAGTGACAGGGCAGGGGGTCTAGTCACTACAGTTGGTCCTGGCATCGCCTACCTGGTTTTGCTGCTTTTCTGGGCCTGGAGCTGAAATATGGAAGCCTAGATGTTATATCCAGGGAGGAAAGGCCAGGGGAGAAGAGGTTACCCTGGGGGTGAGATCCTTGTTTTCCCAGTTTTGCCCCCTGTCAGGCACTCCTGGTGACACTTTTCACTGACTGTAAATTGCTTGGCGTTGTGTTCAGCTATCTGTCTCAGTCTCTCTATTCCATGTGCCAATAAACTTTCCTAGCCTCTCATTATACTGTCTCAGTATCTTGTGGCAGGGGCAGCACTGGAAGATGGTGAATATGAGGGAGATGTGTGAATAGTAGGATTGTGAGTTCTCAGAGATGCAATGTACTTGTTTCTTTTTTATTCATCCTAATAGGTTGCTTTTACCTTTGAGGATGTTGCTGTGTACTTCTCTCAGGAAGAATGGCACCTCCTTGATGAGGTTCAGAGACGCCTGTACCTGGATGTGATGCTGGAGAACTTTGCTCTTATATCCTCACTAGGTAAGATCCCCAGGCTACACAGTAACCTGGAGTAGGCTTCGTAGTTTCCATGCCCCCTTTCTTCAGGGTGTGTTCTGTCCTCACATATGGACCGTGGGTATTGCTTGCTTCCCCAATTTTGGGGGTAGATGTTTTTGGTAGGGTTGGTTTGTTAGCACTGCCCTGTTCTCTCCCTGCAGCCCCAATACTTGCTGTACTGAATCCTCATAGGGAAGTATTTGTGGTTGCTGGTCTTGCAAGGAGCCAAATGGATTCCACTTTAGTTAGTGAGAAAAAGAATATTTTATATTCATCATAGTCATTTTTATATGTTCTTTTGAAAAACATCTGTGCATTCTAAGTCCTTCTTTATTTGTAATTTTCTTTTGCTAATGAATCTTTTAAATATCTTGTATATTTTATATATTAATTCCTTATCAGATATATCTTTTTGCATTTGCTTAATTGTACTTCACAGATTATTTTTACAGATTTGGCTTATGGAAACTCTGATTCAGCAAATCTATTGATGCCATTTTTTGAGCAATCATAGTATATGGTTAATGTCTTTTAGCAATAAAGTATTTTTAGTTTTTATGTACACTTTTGCAGACATAAAGCTATTGAGCTATCAGGAGACTAGAATATAATGTAAACACAACTTTATTATTCACTGGAAATCAAAAATTTTATGTGACTCCTTATATGAGGTACTGGTTTTATTGTGGAGGTCCGACCTGAACCTATACCTGCAAGGGGTAATTGTATGTGGTTTGCAAGTGTTTTCTACAGTCCTGTAGATAGCATTTTTGTTTCCTTTATTTTTTGTTTTGCTGTACAGATACTTTTTCATTAGTCATAGTTTAGGTTTTTATATTTTTATTTTTGTTTTCTGTGTTTTGGGATCATATTGAGAAAATCAGTGCTGACACCAATCTCACAGAGCTTTTTCTCTAGATTGTCTTCTATGAGCTTTACATTTTTAGCTCCTGCACTTAATTTTTAATCCATTTGGAGTTAATTTTTATTAGTGGTATAGTACCCAAGTTTCATTATAAAGCTTCATTATAAAGACTATGCCTTTTCCCATATATGTTTTTCCAGTTTTTTGTCAAAGATTACTTGATTATATGTGCTCGGGTTTATTTCTGCATTCTCTGTACTGGGCTATGGGTTTATGCTTCTGTGTTCTTGCTGGTAAGACACTGTTTGGTTGCTATAATGTAATAGAGTGAAATGAGAAAACTTGTTGCTACCAGCTTTGTTCTTCCTGCTGAAGATTGCCGTGACTACTGAAGGTCTTCTGAGGTTGCATACATTTCAGAATTTATATTCTATTTGTGTGAAATACCATTACAGTTCTGACCGGATTGCATTAAATCAGTAGTAAATACATTTTAACAATATTAGTTCTTGGAATTTAAGAACGAATAATGTCTTCCAATTTATTTGTGTTTTCTTTTATCGCTTTTGTCAGTCTTACAGTGTTTAATGTACAGATCTCTCGCCTTTTTGGG